AGTCCGAGTGAACCCGTTGGTTCGCTTAGCTTGACCCGGAATTCTACCGACATTCCTTCCCAATCATCGACTGAATCGGGTGAACAACTCAGAACAACTCTAAGTTCTCCAGTGAAGCGCGTGCCGTCGACCTTAACTCCCAGTCGACATCCAATCGTCACTCCAGTCATCTCTACGGCCAGAGAATACAGTTCGTACGAGCGGAGCCGAGGATCAGTCGAGTCTAGTGAAGCCGTGAAGGGTGAACACGTTGCCTATGCGTGGAGAGTCATTCGACCCTCGGTTCCCGTGTACTCGACGTCATCTACCACGACGAAACCTTCAGGGGTTTGGGAGCGAACCGAGCGATCATTTACAAGAATGACTTCTTCGAGACCTCTTTTCATCCGGGGTCTTACAACCACAGCACGGCCGAAAACTACTACTCGGCGACCTAGTTCTACAACTGCTCGACCTCGAACTACTTCCAGGAAGCCCCCGACTACTACCACCACCAGTACTACCAGGGCACCGACATTACCGCCGTCAACCACCAAGAAATTTGTGGCTCCCACCACTATCAGACCGTCCAGCACTACTGAGTTCTCACCTCTTCAAGCACCCAGTTCAACGACACCAAAGCCCGCTATGTCGAGGAGCTCTGAGATTCCAGCGGAGGAAACACTAGACCAGAAACTCACAACGACCAGCGAAGCAAGCATTTCCACAACAACGCGCGTTCAAGAAACAGTGGAGCGGATTCGAATTGATTTGAAGAGATATAGGTGTACACGTTTGGAGAACGTAAGACTGTGCATTCGACCTCAAGAGCGCAAGTGTGTGTTGATTCAAATCCATTTGGCTATCCCGAAACATGCTCTGGTTCTGCCAATTGAAAATGCCGAAACCAGAGCTTCTGTGTCGGATAAAGCTGCAATAGGATCACACTGTTCTCGCTTCACAGTCTATTCAACCTAATGACTAGAGCTCGGAAGTTCAGGCACTGAAAAATCTCGGAAAAGGCAGGCAAGAAGGCATCTAAAATGACCGGAAAAGGCTCAATGAATAGGCAAAAAAGGCAATATAGGCGATGAAATCTATACGCTAGTTTATTCGTCGGTATTGTTACACAAGGAAACTATATGATACATCGCGTTCTCAGGCGTGAAAGATTGACGTCGGTCCGATAGCAGCATCTTATATCGTGAAAACGAGCGTTCCACGTCTACGCTTACCATTGGGGCGTATCGATACAATGCAAGGTCTGGCAAATCGAAGTTCCCTAAAGCCATCACTTCTCCGTCACCACGGAGAGCGGACAGTATATCTCTGAGAGTGCTATACCCTTGATTCTTATTCAGGACGGTCTCGAACTTTGCTTTGATGAGACCGGCTTTCGGTCCAGTCGCCCTCTCTAGACAAAACCCTATGTCTTCCACGATACCACATGTGGTTTCAAGCGACTGTGCCGTACACTCTAATCTTCTGATGCCATCGGGAATATTCCGATAATTGGCAGAAACGAACAAGAGCTGATTCTTCAGAGCAGGGTTCCGCAGCATCTCCTGACTCTTGAAGATATAAAGAGCTTCTCCTTTTTCGAAGCTGTTTACAATTTCCTCTATTTTGTCGTAGTTTGCCGCAAGGTAGGATGCGGCTTCGAGCCATGTACCCCAACGGGTGACGACGGGACTTGGAGGCAGAGGTAAATTCGGGGCGAGATCCCTGAATTTCTGTATCCTGGAAGGTGCTTTCAGGAAGCACTTCTTCACGCTTGCAATGAAGGAATCAGTCTCCGGGCAAAGTTTCCGAATTTCCTCACAGACACGATGAATGCCATGAGCGAGACATGTGACGTACACCATGTTGGGAAAGAGAACTTTCAATCCATCCGCGGCCTTTTTCATGTATTTTGCTCCGTCTGTCACGAAAAGTAAGACGCGCTCATGCTTAATACCCTCGGGCCAGAGTATGCTCAGCGAGTTGCAGAACGCTTGAGCTATCGTGGCGTGATTCGTTCGCTCAACGATTTCTGACCCTAGAAGATACGCAGTCGACGGCTCAGAAGCACTCAATTTACCGACCACGGTGTTGACCACGAAAAGACCCCTCGAATCGGTTGTCTCATCGACTGAGACCCAAATCTTGCCTTCGCCGATTGAGGCTCGAATCATCCGTATCGTACCATCGTACACTTCCTTCAGATACGTTTTCCTCAATGCAGATTCATGGGGGAAATACTGTTTCGACCACTTCTCGATGAAGCGTCGGAAACAAGGATTCTGTATCTTATAAAACGGAATATCAGCTTTGACCAAGGTCTCACAAAGATCCATATTAAACTCACTTCCTTTCTGTGGCCTGGTCACAAAGTTCGGGAGGAGTGAAACCTGTTTTTTTGAGGCATCATCGTCACGAGTCGTACGCTTAGTGTGAGAGGCGCTGTTGATGTGTTGACGCACGAAATATTTCTTATCGCCATTAATATTCTTCTCGCATATCTTACAGAATAAGACGCTTCCATCAGTTGTCAATATGTCACCGCCGAAATACCTCACATAGAGATTCAGTCTGCTCCCGGGAGTCGCTTTCTCTCTCGGCATTCCGAGGCACTATTCGGTCGTCGCTGCTCGAGGATTCTCTTCATGAACTCCACAGATTCTCGTTTTTCCCACAAGAGCTTCGCCCCACGCGAACTTAATTTAGAAGGGATCGTGGAAGGGTCAACTTCGAAGAACCGCGCTCGCATCTGTGTTCTCGTGACGACTGCGCGTGCGCAGAACTGATTGCCGTTTAACGCGCGTTTTCCGAATTCCCCATCTCACTCAGAATGATATCGGGGCAATTCGTTTCCCTGAAATCGGACCCCGAAAACACCGAAAAAGGCTTTTTCGGCACTAGAAAGCCGTTTTAGGCGAAAACCCCCTGGAAGAGCCGAAAAAGGCAGGCGCAGGCATTTATGGCAAAATGCCTGAACTTCCGAGCTCTACTAATGACAATGAATTTGCCGCTTTCGAATGGGAGCTCCAAAACGGGCGTTTATTCTTTGGGAATAATGCCTTTATGAGAAGATGAAGACTAATCAAAGATCAACTGCGGTTGATCGATACGGTCCTTCAGGACTCTCTTGAGGTGCGTCACGGAATGGTGCATAGTCGCGTCGGAGTCGCTTCAGAGCGAAACGACGGAGAGCGACTGAGCCTATCACCTGAAGAACTAGGCTCGTGGAGATCGAATAGGCGATTAGGGCTTTTAGCCACATCACATTCGCAGGTGACGGAGGATTCGGTGGAGTCGGTCCCGGCGTAGGAGTGGGTGGTAGTTCGTGGCGTTTGAAATCTTCCCAGATGTCCTCTCCACCCTTGGGAGGTTTGTTCATACGAAGACACACGACTTTCCGGGACGCCAATTCCATGCAGCGCCTTCGAATTCTGCACAGTAGTCCGGAAAGTGCGTGGGGGACAGTTCGGAGATGTAACATGACCTATTTTGAACCTGGCAGTCTTGTTTGCAATCTCGAAGATATTCAAAATACGCCATTCCACTCGTCAGCAGGCTAAGCATGACGAGGGTCCGAACGACTGCCGCCATGGTGGAATTCTGCAATGTCGAGAAGCGTCTCAAGCTGGGCTGCATCCAAATGCTTCGTCAGGCAATCCACGGCGTTCGAATTAGTGGGACAATAATCAACCTCGATATCTTGATTTTGAAGTCGTTCTCTGATATGAAAATATCTCACCTCGATATGCTTTGCTTTTCTAAATTGTTGGGAGGAACTGATTAAGCGAAGCGTTGATTGATTGTCCACGAGCACTTTTGGCTTCACTTGAAAATCTAACTCAGCTAGGAGGCGAGCGGTCCAGAGTGCGGACTTACAAGTTTCTGACGCCGCAATAAGTTCTGCTTCCATGCTGGAAAGCGTAACACAGCCTTGGCGTTGGCTAGTCCACCCAACCGCTCCGCCCCCAAATCTGAGAAGAGAGCCGGTGGTGCTCCGTCTGGTGCTCTCGTCGCCGGCGTAGTCTGAGTCACTAAAACAATCCAGCTCGGGTGAATCGCTACTTGTGTAAAGCAGTCCGTTCTTCTGTGTGCCTTTGAGATACCTCAGAACTCGGAGTCCTTGTTTCCAGAGCAAAGCCGTGGGCCGGTCAAGAAACCTCGACAAGAAGCCAACGGCGTAGGCAATGTCTAATCTCGTTGCAATGGCGAGGTACATGAGACCTCCGATTAGAGCTCTGTACGGGAGACTAGTGTCGACTTCTCCTTCATGAGCAGATTTCGAATTGGAATCTAAAGGAGTGATTGCTGGCTTGCAATCCGTCATACCAAATCGCTCAAGTAAATCGGAAATATACTTGGATTGGTCGACTCGAGTCTCACGACGATCTTCTGACACTTGGATTTGAAGACCAAGGAAATTCTTGAGGGGATTAGAAGTCAACTCAAAGGTCTTACCGAGGACTGCGAGGAAGTGATCGGCATCTTCCTTCCGTGACACAGACAGCAAACCGTCATCGACGTAGAGAGCCACGTAGATGCAATGCGGGCCGTTGGAGTAGAAGAGGCAGTGGTCCGAGCTACTCTGCCTCAGGCCCATTTCCAGAAAACACTTTTTAATTTTTGTGTTAAACTCTTTAGGTGCTTGCTTGAGACCATAACAGGCCTTGAGGAGCCAGCATACGCGGCCGGTGCCGTCATCAAAGCCTTCCGG